AAAAAAAAAAAAAAAAGTACAACTGAACTATCATTTTAAATCAGCTAAATATATTTCAGGTGCATTGGAAAAAAAACCATTTTGCGAAGTCTGCAGCTCACCATACACGATACAAACTGACCATACAACTTTAGATCTACCAAACACTATGTAAAGCTGGCACCTTACAATTATCTGCAGATTTTCTGTGGTCAGATGGAAAAGATGCAACTGCAGTCATCGGAAGCCCGCCCCTCAGGGGGCGGGCTTGCGATGATCGCAAGTACGATCTGCCTGTCCAAGATCTTGCTAGTCGGCTCTCAAAACACCTGAACAATGCCTGCATCCAAACAGATTGTTCAGGTATTTTGACAGACAGTGGGGCTGACTAGCAAGATACTGAAGCGTGGCCCAGTGGGAGATTCCTCCATCCACACAGCTTAGCAGAGATGGAGGAATCTGTTGCACTTTTTCCATCTGGCCACAGAAAATCTGCAGATAAATTGTAAGGTGTATGGGCACCTTAACATGAGAGCTACCTAATATATCCAATCAATTTATATTCCATCAGGCAGGCTATTGCACTACATACTGTGTAGATGAAAAGGAGATTATACAATTAGATTGCAACATGTGGGGTTGGTTTGCTTCAGAAAACCGCCACAGCCTTTGAAGAAAAGCCTAACGCTTGCTAGCATGCTGCAGACAAGGGCCCTCTCTCTCTCTCTCTCTCTGTGGAAGAAGCATTCTGCAGAGTGACCACTGCTTCCACTCAGATAGCAAGGATCCTTCTCTACAGCTCGCTGGCAGGGTACAGGGTTTTCTACTAAGGATACAGCTGTTTTTTTAAGGGAAGTTTTTTTTTTAAAGGAAACACACATTAAGGGGTATATATGTATAAACATCAAATTTAATATACGGTAATATAATCATATCAACTATCATATCGTATCATATAATATCATATCATATATTGCAGCCTCCCTAAATAACTGTTTCATTGTTTTTATTAAAGACATATGAGTCTTTTATTCTGTACTTAGTCACACCCTTTGTATTGTAACCGATTTACATGGAAAGTTTAGTTGGGCTTTAATATTCTATATGCCCCGCCTTCTTTTTTACTTTTACATTTTTACAGCTTTGCTTTACAGTATATGCCAATTTGGAAATTATTTTTGACATTTGGAGATGATCTAACATTCATTTCATATTTTAAGTTTGATATTGTTTACTCATTTGCTGCAAAACACCATCAATAGTCCAAATGTCTAATGAGATTTCTTGCAAGTGTTCAGTTCTAGGTATACAAAATGACTGTGTTAATAGTAACCAGGAAACAAGGCCTGGATCCTGATGGAAGTTATGGTCTGCTGAATCCTGCAGGCTAATGTCAGCGGTCTCATTGGGGGGAGGGAGGAGTCAATTGGGAGCAGTACTGCCCCCTGTTGTTGGCGGCCATGCATTGCCCACTAATGCAAGCTGTGCTCCTCCTCCCCTTAGCAGTTCCTCGTCCTCTACGCCGAACCTTATCCTTGCCGCCGGCTCCTCGACCATCTGGGCATGGCTCCACCAGTCCCTACCCCACTTTGTGCTATCGTCACCGCCCAGCAGCGGTACAGGTATGACGTGGGGAAGGGACGTACATTTTTGGAAAAATTTAGAAAACGTTAAGAGGCTCAAATATTAAGTGCAAAGAGCAATGGCATGCTGTTACTTATACTGGCCAATCATATTTGGGTATTTGCCAGATTATGTCCATCTGAACAAGAAAAGATACATCCTGATTGGTCAGTAGCATGTTTTGCACTTTGCACTTTGGCTTATGAAAGGCTCAATCAAAGGGCTTATTCAATAAACCAATGCAAAGTTCAACAATAAAACGTAAACAGCCAAATCCCAGAGTGGCCCAACATTTTTTGTTTTTTTGTACTCAGCCCCATTTCTAATTGGTTACAATGGACTTAGCTTTGTTTTATTGCATAAACCTAAGAAAGTGAAAAACTGGTAAACTTACCAATAAATGTCACTTCTGATCTTTCAGTCCACTTTCTTTGCTATCCATGGCATGGTGACCACACATCCAAAGTATGTGTGAATTTAAATGGTCAGTCCACCTGATGGTAATGTTTTAGCCTGTACCTTCCTGGCTTCTTATGTGTCTCAGATACACCAACAGTGCGATTTCCCGGCCATAATTCTCAACTCTGCTCCTGTCCTCCTGGGAGCCTTGAGTGTTGCTGCAGACTATTGTGTTCCAGCTCCTCCTGTTACATTCTTCATAATATAAAAAAAAACAATCCAGCAGGGATGGCGGGAGCCCCTCATAATGGGCACGGCAGGTGTACAGACCCAGGAACTCAGCACAGAGTTGGTGGGAGCCCTTCAAATGGGCACGGCAGGTGTACAGACCCAGGAACTCAGCACAGGGATGGCGGTAGCCCCTCATACTGGGCACGGCAGGTGTATAGACCCAGGAACTCAGCACAAGGATGGTGGGGGGCCCTCAAAATGAGCACAGCAGGTGTACAGACTTGGGAACTCAGAGCAAGGATGGTGGGGGTCCCTTGTAATGGGCACAGCAGGTGTACAGACCTGGAAACTCAGTGCAGGGATAGTGGGGACTCCTCATAAGGGGCGCAGCAGGTGTACAGACCTGGGAACTCAGAGCAGAGACAGTGGGAGCTGCTAATAATGGGCACAGCAGGTGAGCAGACCCAGGAACTCAGCACAGGGATGGTGGAAGCCCCTTATAATGGGCACAACAGGTGTGCGGATCTGGGAACTCAATGCAGAGATCTCATAAATAGACTCTCCAAGAGAATGCATTTTGGCTTATTTAATTCTCCAAGATCTACCAAAGTAAAACTGAAATATCAGCATTGGGTAGACTGACCCTTTAATAGATGTTCCAGTGCGACCATTATGTTCATCAATCCATCACTCAATCCATCAATCAAAGTGAGCCAAGTCATTGGGTGAATAAATCCCTGCCAATCCAAGTTATAAAGGGCATGGATTCATTAAACCCAATCAATTCTTGGCCAATGTGATTAATAATATGATTGCGTTTTAATGGTGAGGTCAGATGGGTGCTTTCAGGACCATTGAAGCCAAACTCCGGACTGAGATGATAAAGATGAATCAGTAAACTACCATTCATTCAAGAGTGATCAAATGCTAGTCACAGCAATTAAAAAAATACAGTGGTTCTAATCCTTCCCACTGTGCACTAAACTTTGTGCTTTTTAAATAAGCTCATATGATTTTTGTTGTAGAAGATGGTGGAGGGAGGGTCATTTCTTCTGGCTAATACAAGAAGGTTAACCGGGAGCCATGTTTCCATGACAGATACAAATCACGCAAAAGATTTCCCCATTGTTACATCTTCTTAATGTGCCTTAAATCACCCATCTAACCTTGCCTTTTGGGTAGAAGTCAACTGAATATTGCAGTCTATTCATTTTCTTCTTTTCAGGAAGGCATTGAGTGCTGTGCTCTGGGCCCCATAGCAACAAAGTAGCGATCGCCATTCATTCTGCACCAATGAATGCTGGAATTGGGTTGGTTGCTATGGGTGCTCGCTCATCACTGCTTTCTGCTTTCTCTTTTATTAATCAAACCAGTCTGCTAACATAAAACTTTCTCTTGATTGCAGAGATGTTTAAAAACTTAAGTCAAGACGGTAAAGGGATCTATCTCCAGGAGGCTGAGGTATGAACACTGTCACTTCTATTTTATTTTTAGAAAGGGTAATCTGTATCTTAAACCTTTTTTCATGATAACATTTTCTGAATTCCGTGGATGTATTCCTGCAATGATGTAAACTAGGGATGCACTGATACCATTTTTTTGTTACGAGTACCAATATTTTCCTTTCGGTACTCACCGAGTACCGATACCGGTGGTTCTGCTGGAATGAAGACTGCTTCCCGGGCAATTAGGAAGCTGGGTGACGTTAATGACATGCTGCCCAGCTTCCTGATTGCACAGGAAGCTGGCTCCATGTTGTTTGGCTGGAAAACTGGCTTCCCAGCCAATCAGCATCGACCCGGCTGTTCGGCCGACTTGATGCTGATTGTCCGGGAATCCAGCTTTCCAGCCCATCAGAAAGGAGCAGGCCAATCAGCATGGACCCGGCTTCCTAGCCAATCATGAAGCCCGGGAGGCAGATCATTACTCGCAGCCCAACTTCGTGATTGCCCGGGAAGTGGGCTCCATGTTCCCCTACAGCACTGCCGGTCAGAGGAAATCTTCCTCTGACCGGAAGTTCCGGTATCGGGGAAGGTATCCGAGCATTTGGGCGAGTACGAGTACTCGCCCAAATACTCGGTATTGGCACAGATACCAATACTAGTATCGGTATTGGTGCATCTCTAGTGTAAACAATATAGAACAGTGTTTTTCCACCAGTGATAGGTTCCAGTAGGACCAATGCATTGGACAGTCAATGAGTTTGCCTAAGCTGAGATGATGCCATCAGTCTGCTGCAGGCACGAGGGAGCATTTCCTCAGTCTCCTCTCCCAAAGCGATCAGACTGCGACATTATAGCTTTGGAGCAAGTCACAAGGTGAATGCACCCAGGAACTTCACAGGCACCAGGATATACCTGGTGGTGACCCTGGTTGATGAACAAAGATGGCTCCAACCTTCTGGAGAGAAAAGCAGATGTGTTCCTCAGGGGGTTCCTGTGGTTCTAGTAGCATAGGTTCAGTCAATGAGTTTGCCTAGGCTGAGATGATGCCATCAGTCTGTTACAGGCAGGGAGAAGCATTTCCTCAGTCTCCTCTCCCAAAGTACACCAGGATATACTTGATGGTGACCCTGGTTGATGAATAAAGATAGCTCCGTCCTTCTGGAGGGAAAAGCAGATTAATCAGGGGGGAGTATTGTAATCTCGGTGAGAGAGAATAAATACCTGGAAGTGTTACAGTTACACATTAGATAGCATGCATGCGGCTTTCATGACAAGATATACTGTATCTGATGGTAGGTCCAATGTCATTATTGACCCAGTCAACTGCAATCAAATTGATTCTTGGGAGCAATTGCTCTAAAATGCTTCTGAACTTCTACTTTTTTTTAATACAACTTGACGTTTAATTCATCCAATCGGTGATAGAATAGCAGAACATTATACGCTTTTCATAAATCCTCCAGATGTGTTTCTGACACAGTGGATCATGCAAAGTAATGAAGGATATTTTAAAGATGTCACAGGAAAGCCACAAGGGCTGAATACATCCCAGTCTAAAGTGCAACGCGCAACGGTGATTAGTGTCCGCGTGATTCATACGCTATAATTAGCGGATGCTAATAACAGTATTTTTCTTTGACTTTCAATTTATCGAGTCAAAAGGTGGAGATGAATGGCCCTCTATGGGGAAGATCTGAGCACTGAACGAGTGCTCTGTGTCTACAGAGGGGTTGTATTGACGTATGAAGGCATTAACATTTTAGCATGAATGGCTGCAGTATTGTGAATAATTTAAAGGCCAAGTCCACCCGAATCAGACAATGCAGTTTTAGAGAGTTACCTCCTTGGCATTTATAGCAATGAGGTCCTTGTCCCCAAGCAAGGGTGTAACTAGAAGCATAGCAACCTATGCAACTGCTATGGGTCCATATGTTAATAATACCCACAGGGAGCTAAAGCATTTGGCAACCCCATTTGGAAAAATGAAATGCAAATGCCCTCTGGGGACTACTCTATGAAAGCTTTGAAGACAAATAGAATTCTAGTTCACTAAAGGGATTGCCTTGGAAGGAGAGGGACTCCTAACCCTTGTCAGCCCCCTAAGTGGCTCAAAAAGCTTAAAGAATTAAAGTTAAAAAAAATCAATAAAAAAATCGACATGTCACACATGTTAGGTATCGCCGTGCATGCTGGAGTTAATTCTATGGCCATCATTCACTGTTAAATTTGAAATAATAACTTGTAAAGGGTTTTTAAAAATCGCTGTAGAGAAAAAAATGTGTAATATATTGTGTTTCATGCACTAAAATTAATTTTAGCATGTTTTTAACTGAAAATATGGATTTTTAAACTGTTGCACTAATGTCATGTGACATAAGTATAACTATAAGTGGTATAAAGTATAAATATAATGTGATATAACTATAAATTACAACCACCAACTTTTCGTTCTTCAGGGTCTCTGCTTTCACAAAATATATCATTTTTGGGGGCCTTAAAAGAGGACTATGGGGTGTTTTCCCCCATAGTTCTCCTCAGAAACTAGCGTCCTCCCGTGACCCAAAGCTACAGCTCGCGGTATACTGAGACCGCCGCAGCCGGGACGGATCCCGACATTACTGTCGAGATCCACCCAGCTGCGTGATTGACAGCTGGCTCTGCCTATCTAGAGGCAGAGCCAGCTGTAACCGCCCCCGTCCGTTCCTCCAGTCAGCGCTGGAGGATCGGAGCGGGGGGAATCCCTGCAGGGAGCCGTGACGGACAGTCACGGCTCTCTGCAGGGGCAGGATCAAGAAGTGAGCGAGCGACGGTATGTGTTCGGTCACTTCCCGATCTATTGAGCCGACGTGGAACAGTTTCATTGTCACACGTTGGCTCGAACTTTGAGGATGAGTGATTTTCACTCACCTAATAGTCCTCCTTTAAATAATTTTCAGGCCTGAAATGTGCATTTTAACATGTGTGCCAAAAAAAAGTCTCCAGCAGCAAAGGGGTTAATGGTTTAGCTGTTGGACTCAATCAAGTATAGTTGCGACTCTGTCCCTGAGTTTCTATCTTTGCCAAATGCTTCCCGGGCACAGTCAGGATTGTCAAACAGACAAAATCCCAAAAAGTTGTTGTACTGAAAAAAAGGATAATTAAGAACATTTGTTATAGATAAAAAAGGAAATCAAAAGAAAGTAATGATAGAAACATTAGAAATGTAGTGAAAATGCACTTGTTGCTAAAATTTCATCAAAAGTAAATGTACGTTTTAAAGTTAATGTCTGCAATCGATTCATTTCATTCATTTTTCCTTTTAGTGGATGATGTTGACGCTGTACGCCTGAGGATAACAATAGGACATTGCTCTGATCCTGAACCAGCAATATGAAAACTTTTGCAATCATTTTTGATGAGATTTTTGAACACAATTATTGTCCGAAGACATTTCTGCAACCCAGCGATTTATTTATTATATTAGTATTTTTGTTATATATTTATTTTTTGATAAATGCATTTACGTTTTTGGAGTCCCCTATGTCACAGCGGACCTAATATCTATAAAGGTGAGGACTTTTCTAAATTTGAATATTGCATTTTTTTTTAATTATTAAGTTTACTCCAGGTAGAATCTGTCTTCTGTTAAAAGTGGAACTCCAGGCAAGCAGCTAAATGAACAGTTGAATTCCATACTATATGTTTATTCTATTAGTTCTTGGTTCAGCTTTTCTGCTTCCCAGATCTTCTTCCTGCTCACTGAGTTTAAACTGAGTTTAGTGTCACTTTGATCTCTACAGGTCTCAATTTGCCCTCTTATCAATATTTTCTAGTTGCACGTTTTGAGATGAAATAAAACATTTTTAAATAATATCAAAATTGGGAGCTAATGTTTCAATCTTTTGAGTTAAAATCAGAATTATGATTTTAAAAGCTTTACAAGCTAATATTTATAAGATAAGAATAAGATAAAAATCGGAATATGGAGACAATACTTCTGGTCTCTGAGCTAAAGCCAGAATCCTGAGCTAAGATTTCAGATTTGTGAGAAAATCAGAGTTCTGAGTGAAAACTTTAGACCTCTAGATAAAATCAGAATGTACAGCTAATGAGTCAGTCATTTGAAATAAAATCGGAATTTGGAGATACTTCTTCAGACCTTTGAACCAAAATCAGAAGTCTAAGCTAATACTTCAGACCTCTGAGCTAAAATGAAAGAATCTGAGATAAAATCAGAATTGTGATCTAACACTTTACACCTCTTAACTAAAATCAGAATTCTGATTTATAATTTAGACCTCTGAGCTAAGATTAAAAATTCTGAGCTAATTATTTAGACCTCTGAGCTAAAATGAAAAACAAATCTGAGCTAATACGTTAGACCTCCGACTTAAAATCAGAATTCTAATGAATACTTTCGACCTCTGAGCCAAAATTAAAAACAAATCTGAGCTAATACGTTAGACCTCCGACTTAAAATCAGAATTCTAATGAATACTTTAGACCTCTGAGCTAAAATTCAATAAAATCTGACCTAATACTTTAGACCTCTATAATAAAAGAAAAAATGTGAGCCAAAATTTCAGAATTTTGAGCTAAAATCAGAATTGTGACCAAACATTAGGCCGCTGAGATAAAATCAGAATTGTAATCTAATACAGAGGTCCAAACGGTATTCTAGAATGCTTGGACATCACAGCTCAGAGATATTCTCTCAAAATACAATCTCCGAAGTCTTCCCTAACTTATGTAAAAATATATTTTAAAGTAGAACTTCCTGATTGGCCTTTTTTGAATGAACTCCGGGCAAATCAAATCTTAAGCCTTGCAGTGGGGCTACCCGCGCACTGCAAGGGTTAAGTGATTATTATTATCTCGGAGCTAAAATAACAAAGTTATACTAACCCGAACTGTGATCCCGGTTGTCTCCTACACCGCTCCCTCTAGCCTGTCTCCTACACCGCTCCCTCTAGCTTGTCTCCTACACCGCTCCAGTGATGGAAAGTCTCTCAGAGTCCTCACATCCTATACATTGTGTAGAAAGAGATGACTGACAGGACCTTAGACTGCTGGAGCGGAGGGGGAATGAGGGACTAAGAGCAAGCTGGGATCGTGGTTCAGATGAGTATATTTTGTTATTTCAGCTCCCTGGATAGAACGAGCACTTAACCCTTGCGGTGCGCGGGTGTTCCCATGGCAAGAGTTAAGTCTTTTAGTTTCCCCGAGTTCTGCTTTAATTAAAAAAAGGACAATAAAATCAGGAAAGCAAGGTTACTTCCCAATTAAAAATATCCTATAAAAGGCCATAAAATGACCAAATAGTCAGAACCTTTAGAGGAGGGCAGGGTAATATGTGCCTTGTAGTCCTCCGCAGTCAGAGGCTGTAGTTGGCGCTCTCCTGCAGTATATATAATGCTGAAATGCTGATACTTACCTTCCATATACTTAAAGTGATATTAAAGGCAAATTTTGTCCCCCCTCCAAATGTTAGTGTAAGGACTTACCTTAAATGATGCCTCTTATATAGATCATCTTCTTCTTTAGTGTAGTTTTTAGCTGTCCCTCCAGCGCTGGGTCTCCGATCCAGTGCTGACTCCTCTGTCCCCCTCTCCTCTGTCCCACGGTGTCTGTGCGGGTAACACGCTGAGTGTTTAATAACACTTTAATTGTTTCCTAGAATAATCCTAAGAATATTTCTGTAGTCGCCATTGACTATAACTGCTTTACATGCAGTCAGCCTGTGGCTGGGACCTGTTTTGTACCGATATCTACCTGTATTGTGCTGTCACATTAGCGATGGACCGCTGCACCCCGGCTTTGTGTCACTGCGATAAAATTTGAATTATTGTTGTGACTTTTATGGCAAGGAATTCAGGCGCTTCCCCGTAGTTCAGAGGCAGGCGTGGTATATCACTCTGTTAATGTCAGGCCGCAGCTAGGCGTGCGGAAATGTGAGGGCCGCAATTACATTTAAATTAAAGCATCGTTAACTGTGTATTACTTTTGCCTGCAATGAATATTGTCTGAGGGAGGATTGGTTCTGCGGAACGTGTAACATCTATCTATCTATCTCCGGCTTCTAGAATATCACACATAGAAGTTATTTTATGTGTCAGGCTTGGCGTGCGCTCAAATTGTGATCCTTTAGGGCCCAACTTAGTTTTACGAGTAGGCTCGGGAGAAGTGAATCATTCCTGCAAGCTTTTATTGCCGTCCGTGATTCCGGTTAAGGAGATTTAATTTCACTTCCTGTCCCTGTGACAGCCTGTGACAGCTGGACAAGAAAGAAGGGGAGCGGTTGTCACAGGATAAGACATCATCTACAGTGATCAAAACCTAAAAGATGATCTAACCCTTCCCTGCCTATGCTGTTACAGTTACATTCTTCCCCGCTATCTCTATGGACTATAGCACACCCTCCCTTATGTTATAGAGAAGAGGGGGAGGTGTTCTGCAGTCTTGCCCTACATTGACAGTGCTGCTCCTCCATAGATACAGTACAGTGAGTAAGCCTAGGGCACCCTCGGGCAGAAAGTGTGTTACTGGCAGGACCATCAGGGTTAAATAAAGAGGGGGAAAGCCTGAAAGGAGAAAACAAATGCAGCCACCACATCTAAGGACCGGTGAGCTGCAATATATTATATTTTTTATTTTTGGGTTTGGATATATTTTAAATCCACCTCAGCCTGCTGTCATTTTGTATTTCATTGTGTGCTCTGCACTTACAGCAGCACTTATAATCCCCGGTTAGGGGTGCCCAGGGGGAACTGCAGCCCAGCTGCTTCTAGAAGAATTACAGCTGCCCGCAATCTCTCCAATACCTGAGAGATGGTCATTACAAAAATTAAAAAGCCAAAAGTTTGCAGCGTTTGGAGCCGACACAAACAGAATTATAAATCACTTAACTAACAGAGGAAGCCGGCTGATTGAACCCATCAGAGTTTAATTTGGCATATCCAGGCGTAGACTCGGCAAGGCCCCCCTCGTGTTTGTCATCTCCTGTGCGCCTCGGTGCTGAACCGAGCGGGCCCCGGACTCTTCGTATTAAATGTTTAATGTTTGTTTTCTGCAGGAAGAAAAAAAAAACAACTCGGCGCCCACGAAAGTGGAACAAATGTGCTGAACCTGCGAAGCGGCTTAATAAGTGAGGAACCGCGCAGTGACACACGGAACGCCATTCAGCACACCTGCCATGTTTCCAGCCTCGGGAGGGGGGCAACTGACTGTGACATGCATGAGATATATGTATACACGCATGGCGTGCAGATGTACTGTATACCCAGAGAAATGTACTTGTATCTTATATAATGCTTTAAAGTGATAATAATGTCAAAAGGTTTTAATCTATTTCAATTGCTGATGAAATCACTTACAATGGATGCTGCTCCTTGATGTTTAAAAGTTTTAGTTTCCTGCAGAACCACTGGCCCTGATATCCTGTTTTAGGGGAGCTCCTTTCCCTTGCACGGCCTTAATGGAGCCACACTTCTGGGTGCTGGTAAGGTGTGTGTGTCTCCACAAACACATAGACACAGCAAATCAATCCCCTCCTCCAAGCTAGTAGATGGAGAGCTGCTGGAGACTGTTCTGTCCCTTGTGATCTTGCACTGGACAGGAAGTTCAGGGAAGCCGAGCTGAGAGAGTTGGAGCTGTTCAGAAACATGATAACAAAAATGTAAAGAAATACTTTGCTGGGCATTGTATATTTGTTTGATCCGCATTTATTATTAAAAATAGTTTGAGAGTTTAATACTACAGTAAAATAATTTTCTGGATTCTGTTGCCAAGCTGGTGGTCCTGAGCTCTTCATGAAATGTTCCTAGTTCAGTTCTTACATCCGTTTAGGATATAGGCAGGTGTATCAGCAGTGCTGCACTGTGAATTCTGCTGTTTGATGAATTTTGATTTAAAATGTAACTTCAGGAAAATATAAATATGACACTTGAGTCTTGTAACGGGTTTATTGAAGTGTAACTCAGTCCAAGCCCTTTTCATAGTTTAGGACAGAGTACGTAGGGATGAATGGCCCAACTTGAGTTCTGAGTGCTATGTGTGGCACCTTGGTACTTATTGTGCGAGCCAAGCTGTCAGGAGTAGGAACTTTAATTTGTAAAGAGGATGTACTGGCAGTAATCTCCACCAGTCTCATGTCTCTGCCATCTCTGTCTCCTACAGTAAAATTATTAGTCTGCAACCACACCAGTGTCTCTATCTGATCTGCCTCCCCAGTCTAAGCATTGAAAGTGTGATCTCTGTAACTTACAGTTTTGGTGAGATGGCTATAGCTCCCGATCTTAGAGAGTTGGCAGACAGTTGACTCAATCCATATGGCACCTGAGAAGTTTAATCCAAACTGTGCAGATCTTTACAACAAGCTACAGGAAATGGTCAGAGAACATAGGATAGGGC